TGCTCAGTAGGAAGGGACTTGGGGGTGGGTGGGGGGACTCTCTGCAACGACCTGAAAGGAGGTTTTAGTGGGGTGGGGGTTGGTCTCTTCTGCAAAGCCTTTAGTGACAGGAAGAGAGGAAACGGCCTTAAATTGCATCAGGCAAGGTTCATATTAGATATTCAAAAACCCTTTTTCCACTGAGAGAGTGCTCAGGCATTGGAACAAGTAGCCCAGGGAGGTGGTGGAGTCTCTGGAAGCATTCAGGTGGCATCTGGATGTAGCACTTTGGGATGGGGTTTAGGGGTGATTCTGGTGGTGCTGGGTTGACAGTTGGACTAGAAGATCTGGAAGGTCTCTTCCAACCTTGATGATTCTGTGATTCTCTGACCTGTCATCCCTGTTTGCAGGTTTGTGCTCTAACAAGACCCTGGGGATGTTTTCTCTGTTGGGCCCACAGAGATTGTGTTGTGTGAGCTTTTTTCCTCTACGATCAAAACAAAGAATAATTAATGCTAAATCCAGCAGATGGCTTTCAAGTACTAACTTGGTCCAGTTTGTCCAACTGTGTCCAAACAGGTGAGGAAAATCTGGAACTTTAGAAGGGTTAGTTTTTACCTCATTAGCAGGATATCCAGGGGTGCACCAAGTGCCTTCCAGTGAGGAGCACAAGAGACCAGTAGACAGTGACAATCTTGTTCTAATGTTAATGTCACTGGAGCACAGAGTGAGATCACTTCTGAGTTATGTTTCTTTAATCAGTGATTGGGAATAAAGAGAAAAAGCCATCTGCTGGATTTAGCAATAATTACTCCTTGTTTTGATCTTAGGGAAAAAGGCTCACACAACACAATCTCTGAATGCTCCTTTGAACTTACCCACAGTGTGTTCACAAATACACAGAGCAAGGATTTTAGCTTTTGCTGCTACCCTCAGTTCCAGCATACAAAGAAATGTCTCTGTGCAATAACAGCAATTGCCTTACCATGTTACTGAACTACATTCAGTTTATCTGGTCTCAAACAAATACTCCATATTTTCTCCTTGTTTTATTTTCAAAAGCATGGGTATGGGTATTTAGGTGACTGCCTTCACTGGTATAGGATAATCTTATATTTACACTGATAAAATACCACATGTACTTCATGAGATACTGCAAGCTTTTTACAATCCTGATGGCATGTCTTTACAGAGCAAGAGTGAACATTTTGAGATGATTCCTTAATAAATGAGTTGCAGTTCTATTGTTTTTTGAATGTTAAGCACCACATCCTAAATGCAGGAACACGTTCAAGGTCAATGTCCTATTTTAGACCTTTTCAGCAGCTGTGATATTGAGATAATCACGCTTAAAATATTCCTCTAGAAAGAGTAAATTAGCCCTTTTCACTAGAAGGATTCTTATGATCAAAAACAAACCTGAAAGAGAACCAATTCAGATTTCTTTTTTTGTTTGTTGGTTGGGTTTTTTTTCAACAATGCAATAAATTGCTGTCCCTAACTGGGATGGCTTTTCTACCCAAGAAATAAAAAGAAAACTCCAAAGTTCACTTTAATCTGCACTTATATTACCTTTGGGATTTTTTGATTTCTTTTGGAGGCCTCAGCTGTGTAAAAATACCTTCCTTAAAATGCATTTATGCTTTCTGCAAGAACCAAACCATTCCAGCTGACATACCATTCTATCACCAATACTGCAGGGAAATGTAATATCCCACTGAAGCAGAAGGGAAAGAAGACAACTGAGCATCAGCAGCTCTTCCTAAGCAAGATCAGGGGTTTAGGTCCATCTAACTGAGGGATGAGATGTGCCCCTCAGTGGATCTCTTCCCACTCCCCCACCAGCCCTTCTACCCGAATGCAAGCTCAAAGTTCTAAAAAGAGAAGAAGAAGCTGGAGTGTCAATATTTCCCCAGTGCAAACCCCAATAATCTTTGCTGGGAACTGACAGGAATTGCTGTTCCACTGCCCTGGGGTATCCTGGCTTGAGGCGAGAGCGCAGCCCCGCCCAGAGCCCCCAACCCCTCTGAGAGCTTTTGTAGGGTCTGTTTGTCCATGTCCCTGTGGCAGAGGCTCCCCCGACACCTGCCCTGGAGCTGGTCCAGCTGCTGGACCAAACAAGGCATTGTCCAGCCTGCCTTCCCCCAGCCCCGACCGCCCCAGCCCATCTTCCATCGCTCTGCTTCCTTTTCCTGCCCCTGCTCCCCCTCCGCTCCCTTCCCTCGGGCATTTTTATTAGGAATGTTCTTGCTGTTCTCACTGTCCAAGCATGAGCTGATCCCCAGGGGAGCCTGTGGAATGTAACCCCTCAAGCACTAAATTCCTTCCCCTGTGCCAAAGACACGGGTTTGTTGTTGCTGCCCCTCCCGCCGAGCACCAGCTCCATCTCCTGCTCCTGCCCAGCGGCTTTGCAGAAATCCAGGGCTGGGTGTGGATTGGAGGCTGTGGCGAGGGACAGGATAAAGTTGCTTGTCTTCCACCCTTGGTGTCTCAGTGTTTGTGATCTGGGAAGTTCTCAGGAACCTGGAACAATGGCAGATTATCTGTTGTGGCAGGATATGTACCTGGAGATTGTTTTGATCTGAGTATAAATCTTCCTTGAAAGTACAACTGATAGAAAAAAATGTAAAAAAAAAAGGAAAATGGAAATAATAAGAAAAAAACATAGTAAAAAAAAGGAGAGAAAAAAGAGAAAAAAGAGAAAAAAAAAGAGAAAAAAAAGGAAAGAAAAAAAGGAAAAAATGAGAAAAAAAGAAAGAAAAAAGAGAAAAAAAGAAAAAAGAGAGAGGAAAAAAGGGGAAGAAAAGAAAAAAGAAAGAAAAAAGAAAGAAAAAAAGAGAAAATAAAAGAAGACAGAAAAACTAAAAACCAAAACGCCCGATCCTCCCCCTCCGAAGGGACTACAACTCCCACAATGCCCCGCGCAGGCGGGGGGCGGGCAGGGGCCGTGGCCGCGCGCTGATTGGCTGCGGGGCGGGTCTGTAAAGGCGGAGGGCGCGCGGAGCGAGCGCCATTTTGGCCTCGTGGTCGGGAGTGAGGAGGCCTCGCCTGCGGCCGCTGCACTTCGCTGGGTGAGTTGGCGGGGGGGCGGCGAGAGCGGGGTCTGGGGATCCCCTCGGGGGCTGCGGGGAGCGCGGGTGTGGGTGGAAAGGCTGGAGGGCTCGGGAGGGCTTAGCGGGGGGGTTCGAGGGTTTCCGGGAACGTTGTGAGGGGTCCCTGAAAGGACTCGGGGGGGAGGTTGAAGGTCCCTGGAGGGTTTTGGGCGGCTCTGATGGGAGTTTTGTTTTCTGAGAAGATTTGGGGTGTCCCAGGTGGGCTTTGGGGCTCTCTGGGGAGGTTTGGGGTTCCTGGGAGGCTTTGCGGGGACCTTGAGGCAGTTTTGGGGTCTCTGGGGGGTTTAAGGTGTCCCAGACGGTTTGGAGGGCCCGTGGGGGGGATTGGGGGTCCCTGAATAGGCTTGAGGGGTCCCAGGTGGGTTTTGCGGGTCACTGAGAGGGTTTGGGGGGTGCTGGGGAGGGATGAGATCTCTGAGGGGATTTGAAGGGACCTGGAGAAGGTTTTGATGGGTCGAAGGGGGATTTCAGAGGTTTTGAAAGGATTTTACAGGGTCCCCTAAAGCCCAGCAATGGGGTTCAAGGGGTCCCCCAGCCCCCAGGGGAGGGGTCCTAGGGATGCCCCCCAAAATCCAGAGGGGGAGATGTACCACAACCGGGTAAGGGGATCCCAGTGCCCCCAGTATATCCCAGTGACCTCCCAGTTACCCTCAGTATGGCCCAGTAACCCCCTCAGTGACCAGCCAGTGTGTCCCAGTGACCTTCCACTGCCCCCCAGTATGGCCCAGTGATCCTGCAGTGAGCACCCAGTAACCCCCAGTATGGCCCAGTAACCTGCCAGTGTCCCCCCATGTGTCCTGGTATCCCCCAGTAACTCCCCAGTGCCCCCCAGTGTGCCCCAGTTCCCCCCCAGTCCCTCCCAGTGCCCTCTCAGAGGGCCCCTGAGAGCCTGGTGAGGGGGGGCACGGAGAAGGGGAAGCCTGGACAGTGGGGACCCCTGGGATCCCCTAGGACAACAAAGTGGAGAACCTGGAGAGGGGGAATTTCTGGGAATGCAATATCCCGAAGGCGAGAATCAGAGGAGAAGGGAGCCTTGGGACCCCCAACACTCCCAGCATCTCTAGGTAGAACCCCCAGCATCCCAGACAGGGGAGACTCTCTGAACCCTAAAGGGGGGAAACCAGAAAAGGGGAAATCTTAGGAGAAGTTTTTTGGGCTCATCTTCATATTTTAGAGTATTTTTTAGGTGAATCTCAACTTTTTTCAGTTTAGGGGGGCAGGAGTCTTCTCACTCTTTCTTATAGGCTTTTGCCTGAATGTTGATGATTTGGGTTTTTCTGGGCTAAATCTTGGTGTTTTGGAGGTTTTTATGGACACAGGATGTCCGGTGAGTTCTGGAGATGGACTTGGGCAGGAGGAACCCCCAAGCCAACGAGCTCAGCCCTTGTTTTCCTCCCATCAGGATTTGTCCTTCCCAAAGCTTGGGCGGATGGAGGAGGAGGCTGCGAGGAAGAGGAAGATGCCTTGGGCCCCCCAGGCAGGTGAGGAGGAAGTCAGTGTCCCTTTGGGCGGGTGTTGTGCTGGCTCTGTCAGCCCAGCATGGCCCCGGCTGCAGGACAACCCCGCTGGCGCCGCCGTCCTGCCGGGGCCGGAGTTGGGGGGATGTCCTTGGCCTTCCCTGTGGGCCGGAGGCAAATCCCCTGCCTGTCCTTCTTGCTTCCTGCCCCAGGCCCCGAGCTGAGGACGGAGAGCCCGGAGGACAAATCCCCCCGTGAGACCCTGGTGGGAGAGGCCGTTTTGAAGGGCTCCCCGGCGCAGGAAGGCAGCGGGGAGGAAAAGGGCCGGAGATCCCCCCGCAGGAGGGGCTCCAAAGCCATCCCAGGGTGCTCTGAGGAGGAAAGAGCCAGCCTGTGCCGGGAAGGCGGCCGGAGCTTGAACCAGAGCTCTGACCTGGTGGTCCTTGAGCAGCCTCCCAGCAGGGAGAAGCCCTTTAAGTGCTTGGAATGTGGAAAGAGCTTCAGGCAGAGCTCCTATCTGATCCGACACCAGCACATTCACAGTGGGAAACGGCCCTACACGTGTGGGGAATGTGGGAAGAGCTTCAGTGACAGCTCCACCCTTCGCAAACACCAACTTATCCACACTGGGGAACGGCCCTACACGTGTGGGGAATGTGGGAAGAGGTTTCAGACCAGCTGGAATCTCCTCGTGCATGAGCGAACGCACACGGATGAGAGGCCCTTCCGCTGCACCAACTGCGGGAAGGGCTTCAAGCAGAACTCCCACCTTGTCACCCACCGGCGCATCCACACTGGGGAGAGGCCCTACAAGTGTGGGGAGTGTGGGAAGAGCTTCACCCACAGCTCTCACTTGACCAAACACCAACGGACCCACCGGGGTAATAGAAGCCCTGTGAGTGCCCCAACTGTGGGAAGAGCTTCGGCCACTGCTTCCACCCCAAATTTACCCCCTGATGGGGAGGCAACCCCTGGAGTTCAAGGACTGTCAGTCCATCCCTTTCGACCAGAAATGGCCAGTCCCCTTTCCCAGGGGCAGCTTCTTCCAACAGAACCCTTCTTGGGGGGAGTGTGGAGATTCCTGCCTTGGCTGGGGACCCCCCAATGTCAGTGCTGGAGGTTGAGAGCAGAGATCTCCCCACCAGCGTTGGTCTGGGGGAGTTCCATCCATCTCTAATTAAGAATTCTTGCTTTTGTGTCAACTTGAGTAGAATTGCTTCAACAATTGCTTTAGTGTAGAGCACTGTCCTATCTTATCCTGTACTCCTGGTAGTTTTAGTGTTTCTGTTGTGCAGTAAATAATTCTGATGAAGATCTTTTGTCTGATCATTTGTAACCCCAAATAAATTCATTTCTATCAATAGATCTGATTTGCCATCATTAAAACCTGGGGGACAAAAGTGTTTCAGTCACACCTCTCTATTTCCTCTAAATTTAAAATGTTGGCAAGATTCAAGGCTGAGATTGGATCCAGCAGCCTCCACCACCCCACAGGAAGTTGGGAGCTCAGGAGAACCACTCCCTTTCCCAAAACCTGGTGCCAAAGACCCCCATGGGACCGCTGAACCCACCAGACCACCCTCCCTTTTCCACCCTTCTCCCTCTTCCTTCCACTTTTCCATGGTCCCCTCAATCCCCAGACCAACCAGGATCACTTTTGGGGTCCCAACCCCCACTTTTTCCCCCCCTCCCACCTCTTCCACATCATCCCCCCACTCCCCAGCCCCCTCATGCTCAGTTTGGGGTTCCCACCCTCACCTTCCACCACTCTTCTGACCTCTCCCACCCCTCTCCCATCATCCCCCAAACCTCAGTGCCCCTCCCCCTCCATTTTTTTGAGGTCCCACTCCCCTCCCCCTCAGTTTGGGGTCCCACCACCCCTTCTGTCCCCTCTGACCCCCCTTTTCCCACTGACCTCCCCCTTCCCACCACCCGCTCACCCGAGAGCTCCTCGCCCACAGCCGGGGGGGCTCCCAGCACCACCAGTGCCCAGAGAAATCCTCCAGAAAAGGGGTTGGGTGGGGTCCTGGGTGGGCTTTGAGTGTTTTTGGGGGTCCTTGAGGGGCTGTGGGGAGGTTTTAGGGGGGTCCCAGCACCTTTTGGGGTGAGCTGGGTGCCTGTTGAGGGGCAGGTGCCCTCCCAAATGTCATTTTATTGTAGAATTCTTTCAACAGAAGAACCTAACTTGTCACATAAATAATGTTGACTCTAATTACAGTGCTGAAAAGTCCAGTTGATTTACACAGAATGAAAAGAAAAAAAAAAAACCAAAAAAAACCCAAGCATGAATACCCTTGAGATCATATAAAAATGGCATACTTCATCTAAATTGTGTCCTTTTCTGCTTAAAATTGAAATTGGTCTAAAATAGGTTAATGTGATTTTAGGTAGTAATTTTAAATAATAATCTACAGCTACATTTCACATTACACATTTTCCCCATGTTTATATATTCTTCTTTTTTTTTGGAAGTATAAGTAAGCTGCAGTTTTGCAGCAGGAAATCTCCTCTACCACAGAGCTCTTTCAAGAGATCTTAAGCACAGCCTGGATCTCATGCTAAGGCTGAGGTTTTGGAAAGACATCTCCTATCACATCACATCCTCCTCTGTGACATCACAGCTCTCCTATGAAATCACAGCTCTCCTTTGACATCACATCCTCCTCTGTGACATCGCATGTCTCCTATGACAAAACATTCTCCTCTGTGACATCACAGCTCCCTGTGACATCACATCCTCCTCTGTGACATCACATCCTCCCTGTGACATCACATCCTCCTCTGTGACATCACATCCTCCCTGTGACATCACAGCTCTCCTGATGCCTTCAAATCTTCAGCAAAAACCACTATTCAAACTACGAGCACTGCTCTTCTGTTCCCACTGAGCCAGTTGGAGGCAACTGTGATTTCATAAAGCAGCAACAATGGGCCCAAACCCATGGTGTCCTTCAGATGCACCGTGTCCTGAGCAGACTGCGTCCTGCTCATCCTGTCCTGCTGCCTGCAGGACAACTTCCCCCTCGGCACACCCCCAGCCCCAGCCTTGTTTGGGAAGCTGAGCTCTGGCTGAGGCTTTCCCCAGGAGAAGCCTCATTTGTCTCTCCTCAGGGCAGTCCCCCCAGCACCCAGCCAGGACAGGGCACAGAATGAGTGGCCCCAGCTCTGCCTCCCCAGGGGTGTCCAGGCATCCCACGAGGCAGCTGCTGTTGCTGCATCACCACCTCCCCTCACCAGAATGGATTTGGAAGGCTTTCCAAGCACAGGGACCAGATGGAAACCTCTGGACCCTACAGAGAAAACATCCCCAGGGTCTTGTTAGGCCTTGGAATTAAATGGCTTCCTGTTTGCCACCAGTGCTTAGGTCTTGTGGCGCCTTATGGGATTTTCCTGCTTTGACAGTGTTTTGAGACAGTTCATTGTGCCCTTCAAGTCCTTCCATGTGCACACACACACACACCACTCTCCCCAGTGTCTGGCCCTCCAAAGAACACAAGCCCTGATGATTTGTAGCTCCCACTCCAGTGGTTGGCACTTGGAGCTCCCTCCGTACCCAGAGCTCAGAGCTCCCTTGTGCCAGAAAGTTTAAAGAGATTGTGCCTCATTCTGCCAAGACAACCCTTGGAAAAAAGTGTCCCTCTGTGTTTCCTGGGATAAGAGCACTCTATTGTCATCTTCCAAAACCTTGGAGAGGTCCCAGAGATCTCCCAGGAAGGAATTTGGGGCCTCAAGCACATGACCCATATATAGAGGCTGAGGACTCAGGGGTCAGGGGTGTGAAGATTGAGGACAGTAGAGGAGTAGCCTGAGCGGTCTGGAAGGGGGGTGTCAGAGCTGGTGGAGCTTTTCTTCCTGTCAGAAAACAGCCTAAGAAAGAAATAGTGCCACCAAGGGCAGCTGGGGTGGCCTAGACTGGTGACAAGAAGTCAGAAATTTCCCTCTGAGGTCAGTGTTGTGGTGCAATGTGTCACAAAAGAGTCTGGATGAGCCCAAGGCTTTGTGTGTGCAGGAAGAGCCAGGGAGGACGCAGAGATGTCAGTGCAGGAAGGTGCCAGCCAGGTGGGGCAGCCGGGGGATGACGACAGCCTGCAGGGAAAGGGGCAGGGCATGGACACCGTAGGACAGCCTGGGCTGGAGAGGAGACAGGGATGGGGAGAAGCTGAAAGGCCCTGACACAGCCACCTTCTGCAGGCCTTTGGCCAGGGCTGCTGTCTGTGCCCCTGATGCCAGGAGGAGGGGAGTGCCCCTTGCAGCCCTGGGGCCTCATGGCCTCCTTGTCCCTGCTCAGCAGCCTGGCAGGTGCCACCCCATGGTCCTGCCCTTGGCACTGCACATCCCACATCCCAGTGCCCCAGGAAGAGCCCTGAGGAATGAGGCAAGGACAGCATCTGCCTTCCCAGGGGCTGAGGGTCCCATTTGATTAAGGAAACAAGTAAAGGTTTGTTCAGCATCAGAGCCACCTTTCCCTTGCTTGTCCATCCTTGTCATCACTGTCTACAGTTTTCTGCTCTAACTGGAACCTGGGGACACCTTCTCAGTTGTGTCCCTCAGTGAGACTCATTAGCACTAAAGGAAACTTTAGTGTTTCAATCTCACTTTGAGTTCTTGAGAAGTTGTTAGAATTTACTCTCAGGGACTGAGTCTCATGTAAACAACACCAATTCCCCCCGAGGGCCATGAAATGCCTGGGGCTGTTGCTGTGCTGCTGAGCTGGGCCGGGCTCCTGGCACACAGGGAGCTCCTGGCAAGCAGGAAGAGCTTCAAAGAGACAGCTCTGCTGGTGAGCAGCTCCTCTGCACAGCCCAGCAGGGCTGAGGGTACTGCCTGCAGCACCAAGGGCAGGGGAGTGAGACAGAGAGAAGTTAAAGCTGTCAGACATAGAATGATGTTGAGACCTCATTGGGGGAGAATTTTTAGCAGATCTTGGCACAGGAAGTCTGGTCATGCAGGGCAATGGGACTGCAGCTTTTGGAGGCATCTGTGAAAGCTGGCACTGCCCACCAACTACAGATTCTGTAAGTGCAACCCTGAGACTATCTGCAGTGTAGAGGAGGAGGACATGCTCAGAGCTTCAACTCCCTCTCAGAATATTTCCAAGACAAAGATTTTTATAAGGTTAAAGAAATTTCCTGAGATTGTGTTTCCAGTTTCCTGCTCTTGAGGAATGGGAGGAATAAATCATTAAGAAAGTATTAATTTTGACAAGTCCCTGAGACATCTGAACTGTGAGTGCTCAGTAGGTCTACCTGAGCTTCCTAATGTGCTTTCAGCCACTGCTCTGCCTGTGGGCAGCACCAGCATCACCTCTGCTAGACCCATCAGGACTAGTCTGAGATGTCCTTTTTGCACCTGCAAACGGAATATGACCCCTACCAGTGCAGCCTGTGGTGCTGGGGAAGGAGCTGAGTCTGCTTAAATCAAATGCCATCATAAGGACACTTGGCTGTCTCCCTGAGGTTTCCTTCCAAGCTCTGAATTCCCCTCCAGGTTGGAAACCTGTCCCTAAACATCTCCTTGTTATGTGAAACGCCTGTACAGAAGCACAGTGATGCTAAAACAGTGAAAATGCTGTTGAGTAGGGACCCAGCACTGGAGCTGAAGGAAGATCTCCTAGGAAATCAAAAGGCTGTCTGTGTGTGACATGGGGAGTGTCTGTAGAATACAGCTTTGACTTTGTTTAGATAAGTCCACGCTAACTGGCCTCTTACTGTCTTCTTCTCCCGTGTGGGAAACAAAAACCCAGAGGCAGCAAATGTCCAACAACAGCTCCATGCCCCAGTTCCTCCTCCTGGCATTCTCAGACAG